GTCCTGTCTTACCCCATCTGACTCCAATCTCATCCACTCCAATCTCTCTTAGGCCATTGCCACCACCCTGCAAAACAAGAAGCCCACCATTTGTGCTTTCAGATTTTTTTTCCGCTTCCCTCCTTATTTTGACAATATCTGCTCCACTCAAGCATACAATCACACTCCCAGCCTCATTTACACTTACTTTTCCCCTAAGGGATCCAATTATACTGTCCCCCACCATGACAATGGGAGGCTTAGCTATTCTATTCTGAGATTCTCGTTTATAGGCAGCCATTCCATCTATGTCAGTGCCACAGACTTTAGGGATGCTGGACTGTTTTGGCTTTTGACTAGTCTAAATTTTATTAGCATACTCTGTAGTGCAAACTTCATTGATAGTGCCCTCCTCTATTTCAGCTTTTAGTTCAGCCAGGAACTAAAAGCAGTGGAAGGGCCAGGCAGGTTTGCTGTCTCAGCCCGATTAGCTTTATTAATGATCTCTTCCAACTCTGAGACTCTTTTCTTAAGCATGCTGTTTTTATCTCTAAGAGCCAGTATGCACTTTCTACAGGCAATGTATGATTGCTTTATTTTTGAGTTTGACCAGTGGTCAATTCCAAGGGTTTGTGTGGAGTACCAGGTTTTGCACCTGGAGCACTCCACTTGGTCAGCTTTGATCTCGCTATTCTCATTGCTAACCACCCGCTTTTTGGCTGGCATTTGTTTGCCCATTATTGAATTGTTGTTGGTTTTATACAGCAATGTGCCTTCTTATACAGCAACTCACACACACCACCAATATTGGAGGGAAAAATATATTCTGCCTAACCTATCAGTTCTGAATTTTTCTTGGATGATACAGAAAGAAACAACAGCAACAGCCAACACAGAGAGAACAGAACAAACAATACACTTTGAATAAGCTATCTTTGGTTAGGGGGCAGGGTGACAACAAAGGGGAAATATTTACATTAGGTACTAGGTATTGTTGCTTGATTTGTTTCACATGGTTACTTTGTTATTATTGGGACTGAGATAAAGTGCAAACCAATGTAGGAGAGTAGGTAAGCCTACATCATAGTAGTGAAAAAAAGGACAGCAAGAGGCTAGTGAAAGAGAGGTTACTAGGTAGTTTCTGCATGGGACAGGTGACAATTAGAATTATGCAGATTGCAGACTTGCAGTTGCCAATTAGGTATGGCCGTAGTCAGTAGTCACACAATTTAGTCAGTTATTCATGACCAACCACGTCCACCAAAGTCCAAAATCACACAATTTCTTATTTTCTTTTAATCACTTCTCACTTTTCACTCATGTCTCTTTCATTTACTTCTCTTTCGTTTACTTTCAAGCTAAAACCAGCAAAACGTGGCACAAAGCTTCTCGACAGACATCGCCGACGCCATTTCACCTCAGCTCTCAGACCACTCAGCTCAGACCTTCACCTCAGCTCTCAGACATGATAATAAAAATGCTGTCCTTGCAGCCCCGGCACCGGCAGACTGGCAGTCAGCACCACCAATCGCATCAGAAGAGTCCTTGCTTCCTTCTCCTTAGTCCTTACTCCTTGCACCCTAATCCCTATGCCCTATCCCAGCTTGGCTTGGAATACTGTAGTTCCCTGCCCCCTGGCAGGCTGGCTGCTGGCGTCCTACACCTTTAGGGTCAAACACTCCTCCAGCACTGCCTGCCCAAAGTGCGGGGAAGTGGGAACACCTCCAGTCTGTCCGTGTCCAGCATTTCTTCCTCAGCATTTCCTCATTGAGGGACAGCCCTGTAGGCTGTGGTGCCTGTGGAGCCTTCAGCCTTGGAGGCAGTGCCCCGCAGTGGCATTCCTGAATCCTGACCACCCTCCCTGCCACTGCCAGTCCCTGGTCCCTGCCTTCCCCATCTCCCTCCTACACTAAAAAAGTTTGCCAACCACACTGCACTTGAAAATTGTTTCCTGCACTGCTGGGGATTTAGTTCTAGCCTCTAGGTGACGGCTAACAACAACAAACAGATTCTTGTCAATTTTGTTTTAGAATAATGTGTGCACCCATTTGAAAGTTGTCAGGTTATTGGAGAGTGTTTATGATTCTTGAAAGAATTTATACAATTTTGTAGTTACCTGGTCAGTCCTGGTGAACTTTTTTTTTTGCCCTGAACTTTAATAAATTTGCTTCATTTGATGGAAGCAAATTATCAAATCCTTAAACAATTCCTTTTCATCCTTTGGATTAATTATGTCAAATTGTTTGGCTTCTCTTTTCTCTTAGGCTAATTTACATGGTTTTCCCAAAGATTTTGGAATTTGTAACAAGTTTTTTCAAGCAATAAATGGGCTACTGAAAATTCCATGCTAAAATTTGTCCTTCAAATCAACTGGTTTTGTTATTTAAGTTAGTAAATACATTCTAAACTTACCAACAAAGCAAATTCTATTGTGATTTTCCACACCATGTCCATGCCTAGCACCCTGCCCAGTCTTGCACTGATAGACTTTGGCATGCAATGGATTGGATGGGCCATTGCTGTGCTGTTACGAACAGAAAAGTTTTATGATTTAACTGGTAAGATCTGTTTAGTATACATCTATTCTATTGTATGTTGGACTTGTTTCAGACTTTCAGTAAATAATTTGTATAATCAGAATTTTTCTAATGAAAGAAAAATCTATCAATACATAATGGGTCAGGAGTGGATTCTAAGTTTATTTTCTTTTAATGAGGATTGCATTTCAGGGCAATTCTTTGTATGGAAGTTGGCCTATAAGTGATTTATAGTAACTTGGCTATTTATAGTTTAGAATTATATTCTTATATCATTCTACAATTTGACAAATGCTTCACCAGCATCGTATGTAATATGTGTTATAATGTACCATATGTTGAATATATGATTATAATTTTACAATAGTGTTATTTGGTTGATTGTTACTGCTCATTATTCATCATCTCCATGAAACAAAACAGTTTTTCTATATGAATGCTGATAACCATCACTGAATAAAATCATGTAATTTAGTATGCAGCCATGAATAAAAATTTTTTAATTTTTATGTAATGTTCCAGGATCTTCCACATTCATATTAGTCATTTGCCTGTGCTACCGCTGGCATTCTCATGGGCATCCCAGGCATGTCGTCCAAACCTCTGCCATCCTCATTTGGGCTGTGAGGTGAGGTCCAGTATTCAACTTGTGTATACTCTTTTGAAGGATTTGCTCAACCTAAAAATTTGTCAATCCTAGTATTAATACAAGTGCTCAATTGTTTCATTGTTATGTGCAGTGAAAAGTTATCTATGTTAAGAAGGTCTCTAAAAAATGCTAAGTATCAAAAGATTTTCATGTAAGTTACATCTTGAAGAAGCTGAGAATTAATTATAATATTTCCTGAATCCTGGTTGAATTTTCTTTACTAAAATGTATTCATTGTTCATTCAAAGAAGCATAATTCAATCAACTATCAATAAAATTTTATAATTTTGTGGTAGTATCAGATCTGGGGACAAATTAAATGCATACAAAATAAATAGGAATTGTGTATGACTCCAGAATTGAAAATGACATTTCACCATGAAATCTTATTTGATATTTTCCCATTAGATCACTGATCATAAATGCCAATACCCTCATTTTATTTTAGCCTGAAGATAAAAATGTGAAATGCTTTTAAAAGGAAATTTGGTTTTGATAATGTCAGATTGAACTGAAAAATTTGTTTAAATTTAGCACGTTTGATGTGCCACAGGCTGGGGTTGTATCTCTTCTCTCGTATTTTGGCCGACGGCAAGGACCGACGTTTTGATAAGATAAGAGATGACCCTGTCCGCTTCTTCTTTGCCTGGACCATTCAAGGTTGTTTACTGCAGCATCATTCTATCAAGTTATTCATGCACTCATTCCCATTTCTCCAATCACTTTTTTCATTCATTTAATTCATGTAAATGGTAATCATTTGCTGTTAACAAGAAATTATGGAGAATCACTCCTCCTGGAATGCATAAGTGTTGAACACTTGAAATACATTTTCTGTTTATGGGAATATCAATGAGCAAATTACTTGGATTTATTCATTATAATGATCTATCAGACGGCTTGAGAGGGATTTATTGTGTGCGCGTGTCTTGCCTATCGTGGTGGTGGCAGCTTAGGAAGGGGTTCAGTACAGCTCCTTAGGTAGGGATTCACTGTAGGAAATATTTTTTTTGTATTTTGAAGTAGTATATAAAATAAGTCTCATAAGTGACAGTGCTCCCGTTAGGATTTTTTTATCCAGTGCATAGATGTTAGTTTACACCTCAAAAATTACTATTGTCAATTTTAGGTGTTTAATTTAATGCCAATATTGTCTTACAGTATTTTAGTTGATTGGGAAAGCTTGATTTTATTTACAGCCTCCTTATATATTTCTGTATGATGCAATTTGAAATTATTACTTACGCGTTTGAAAAAGATTTAGGTTTTCCCTTATTATTAGGAGCAATTCTGCCCTCCTGCCCAGCATATAGTTAATTAAATGCCTAGTTACTTGCTCCTGATTATATTGCTGTATTATTCTCTTATATAGGAGCGTGGGTGCTGGTGACACTGCTGCCCTCGCTACTATGTCTGACAAATAACCGCCAGCCTGCCCTGGGACTGCGGGACTACCTCGGGTGGGGCGTGTGGGGCGTTGGGCTCCTTGTAGAGGTTGTGGCTGATCATCAGAAGGCAGCCTTCAGACGTGACCCTGCCAACCATGTAATGAAATGTCTTCCTTCTGCAACCTTTGAATTGAAATATTAGATATCATCTAAATATCCAATTAATAGGTATGTTATTTATAGGCGCACAAGTGTGAACACCACATTTCAGCAATTGATATGGTTTTGATGTTTACTCAAGTTTGAACAGATTGACATTTGTTATTAATTGTGCTGTCCATAATAATCGAGTGTCATTTTGTGATGAGTCCACCTGTATATCAATAATTAATATTTGTATATAAATAAAGAACAATTGTGCCAGAAAACCGTTACGATTTAGGTAATGTTTAATAGTTCTCTAGCTTGTAAATTGGGTAATAATTAAATGATTGTAACGTCATATAATGTTCGTCCTACGCAACTGATAATAATCACTGTTGATGGTACATTAACAATAAAGGACAAGTTCATCACGACGGGACTGTGGTCGCTGTCCCGCCACCCCAACTACGCGGGCGAGATCATCTTGTGGTACGGCCTCTACCTCAGCGCCTCCGCCTCCTTCACGGGCTACCAGCACCTCTCAGGTCACTTGCTGTTTAACATGTGTCTGACGTGATGGACTTGTGTCTTACATGGGTCAGACTTGTGTCTTACATATACCTGATTTTCTGACGTGTTTCTGACATGTGCCTGACGCGTGTCTTATGTATGCCGGACTTTCTGACGTGTGTCTGGCAAGTGCCGGACTTGAATCAGCGTCTCATAGGAATGCCCCAACCTCACATCCCCTGCACCTCATGGGAATACCTCAGCATTATACCCAGAGTTTCTCCTACTGTTGAACGCGATATTTCTATCAATTGTTTTCAAGTCATTTCAATGAGTGTTAATGATTTAGTTCCAATTCATTAAGACTGCAAGGCTGAGACGCTTCTTGTTGCAGTGCTGAGCCCAACGTTGGTCTACCTGCTGATCAAGTTCGTGTCCGGAGTGCCGATGCTGGAGGACCACGGCAGGAGGAAGTGGGGAGCCAGCGCTCAGTACCAGCAGTACCTGCGTCAGACTCCCGTGCTCTTCCCCTATTGGCATTCAAATTAACGGATCTTTGGTGACAGTGTTAGTCATATGCCTGTCCTTGATGTAAAGGACATGCGAGGTCCTCGACTCGTCGTGTGAGGCTACTGGACTGCTTCACTGCTCATCAGCTGTTAGCTAGCGGGATCAGCAACAAGTATAGTCCACGAGCAGCACTCATTTATGACCGATTCAATGCTAAACATCTGAATGGGCATTACTGTTAATTCGGTGACGCTTATTTGAATTTAACCTTCATATTGTTGAAACTTGTTATCATGAAGATATTTATATTTTCTTAGCAGTTCAAATAAAATTTCAAATAATTTTATTGTTTTCCTCCATGAAATGCAGTCGTAGCATTTTTACACAAGCAAGGCGTCTTTTCAACTATTTTGCTCAAATTATTTTACTTCTAATACTGGACTGGAATAGGGAAGCAGCATTTGCCGTACACAGATAGCGTGTCGCTTGCAACAAGGCGTAACACAAATCCTTCGGGCTTTTGATTGGCGAGATCAAAAAAGGTTTAACATTTTACCCACAGACTGCGAATCTTGTAACCAGGTTCTAAAATTGCGGTTGTATATTAATGATTCAGAGGGGTTAATTAATCCCTAAACTAACTATAGAGTTGAAGCAAAAGGTCTCTTGTTGCCAATTTTTTTCAATAAAAAGTCACTGGCTGGCCCAAAAGAGCGGAAGGTGTAACGTAGCCGCTCTGGTGAGCTAAAAATGGAGCATGGTTAACATCTGAATGAGGCAATGCATGCTTATGGCCAGCATAGCCCAATTACCATAATTGGTTTCATATTCCTTCCCGTGCGCAAGCATGCTTCTCACCAGAGTCGCCTTTGAAGTTAGATGTTTGAAGCCATAGGCACCGTAAGCCCGCAAATACTGCTCCAGCCATCGTAGTCATCACGGAGGTTACACCCCAGCATGCGCCAACCTCCACACTTACCTAGACTTTCCATCAAAATATACCTTTCCGGACCTAACCTCATTGGCTGCTGCAAGGTATCGAAGCGGGACATGTGGGGGGGACTGGAGCCGGTCATTGGCTGCAGGGAGTAGATCAGCGTAGAGTGTGGGTGAGAGACCTAATGAGTTATCGTTTCAAAACCATAATTTTTCTATTATTTTTGAAATATTCATTGCGACGTACATTCCACAGTAGATCGTACTTTTGGAATATCAATAATAACAATTCAGTATCATCTGAACACCTCTTGAAGTTCGTTGAACCGTCGCCGTTGGCACAAGACATAGTTCATAACATTATAAACACTGCAGGATACAGGGCGGCACAAACATGCACACAACGGCTGCCGCAGCGCTAATGTCGATACTAGATCGCAAATTTACAACCTGAACTGCTTCAGACGCAAACGCATCAGCTACTCGCATCTGAAGAATAAATCATCACAATATTAGCAGTGCAAATGCAGCTAATACTAGCCCTGGGTCAAGTATACCCTTAGCTTCATAGCTAGTGTCGCAGACCAAAATAGAGAGCCACGTACAAAACATGCCAAACCAGTGTAGGCTTCATGGAGGCTACACCTCTACGAAGTTTTTCCGGTCCTCAGCAAGAGTGACAACTAAGCCACCCACAGCTTCATTAAACGCTTCCTCACATACTTCATTACCGTTGCGTTCCACATTACACAATGCACTGACCTCACTCAATGGCTTCCAACAATACACTGGCACCAGCGGACTGTTTACCAAATACTCTCCGCGTGTAAAGGCTTCAGCTGGCAAACTCGGTGTAAAAACTCGCAGCTCATACTAGCCCCGTGTACAAGCACCTCAAGTGTAGCTGTGCGTTCATGTTGAGCGTGGGATAAATGGCTAGCTCAAGGGCTAAGTTTGTGGCCAACGGCTGCGCACCTCTAAACGAGATGATGTCCATGTTGCAATCCTCCTATTGGGCGCGATTTGCTCGCCGCTCAAAGTATTCCTAGACGCCGAATGTGAGGACGCACTTGCGCAAATTATTTTCCTTTGAGCTTTTTTTATAACCAGGCAGGATTTAATGATAATTACTTTGCTGTGTAGTTGTACGTCTTTCATACTTATGATTACATAGAACTACGAGCTAAACTGGAACGTTGGAGCAACAGTACGTATATATATTTCATATAAAACTTGCTACTCATTTGCCCCTGTGCTACAATCATAAAGTAATAATAGAACACTGACTGAAAATATGATTATATACAACGAACACTAATTAAATGAGTTCTTTGGCAATAAAATAAAACTTACTTACTCGTAGAAAAGTGTATGCAGAATGAAAATATGCCTGGGCTATGCTTATTTTAGGAGCTTTGAAACAACGAATTTTTTAGCGCAGAGCAAGCAAACATCCAACACATTAGTATCGCACTGCTGCATAGAAATTCTCCCAGCACTCCAAGACTGAAAATGTTGACTTTCAATCAAAAACATGGAATTTCGATTTCCAAAACCGACGTCAAAATCCAGCCTTTTGAAGTTCCAGTAGCTGAGCTCCAAGTCGTTCTCCTTTGAATTTCCGCAGGTGAGCCTCCTGGCACGAAAAAAATATTTACAATTACATTGCAATTCATACAGCACATAGCAAACCTGCAGCCAAGCGTGAACTATTCTAACAATACTGTACATTAAACTAGCTGCATAATTGGATGGTATTACATCTCGCACTATGCAACTCTGATTGCTCTACAAAAAATAATTTCCTATAGACCGATAGCAAAGGAAATGGTGGTAATAGGAACAAATAAATATTGAAGGCTATAAAGTGTTACTTTCCACAGATAAAAGCAGAAATTAATGATTACAAAGGTTCATTACGCAAATAAATAACCATTAGTTCATTTGAATATATGGCAGAAGCTAGTGTCTTCAATTGGGTACAAACAATTCTCTTGTTGAGGTACGTCTTCAGGAAGGAATCCACATCAAGTTCCTTGTTCAAGAACTGCTCGGCTATAGCTTCACTCTCCTCCTCGGACTGAGCTGCAGCAATCGACATATTTTCCTGCCACATAGAAAAACTAAATTAGAATACAATACAATTACAATATAATTAATCATGTATTGTGTGAACTCTGCATTGAATGGTGTACTACCATGAAGCACAAGATAAATAAATTGATGGGCAGAATTACATGATAAACTAATTTATTGGGTAGGATTAAGATGAAGTGAATTTTAGAATAAATTAAGGAGCACAATTGCAAGGAAATAAATGAAAAACTAAATCAATTGGGGAAAAAGTTTACATCAAGTAGAGAGACCCCACTAGGATGCAAGCTCATGTTTACCTTGTAAATTATGAGCTCATAGATCAAGAAAGTTTCATAGTTGCAAGCACCAAAGAAATTAAAAATAGTCCAAGCCTCTATAATACCCACATTGATTTTAGTCTTAAGAAAACACACCCTACCATGCTCTATCAGAATGATATGGAACCAAGAAAGTGATCACCATACATCTCCTTTATATCATAGTCCACTTTTTGTAAATTTGCCCAAGGCCTGAGACAATTTTTTATCCATTTTTATCATATCATTGTTAAAGAAATAAAAGTCCCAGATGTTTTTTGTAACAATTTTACGTTAGCCCTACCTGCACTTTATGTTTAACAATGATTTCAACTTTTGAATTGATTATTTCTATTTATATTGGTCTATTTTTTGTCTAGCTGATTGGTCTAACCAGCTGATATTTTGGCTCCTTAAATAGACTCAAATCTTAACATATTTAACAAGCCTGGTAATGAAGTTTTCAACTTTTGAATTGATTATTTCTATTTATATTGGTCTATTTTTTGTCTAGCTGATTGGTCTAACCAGCTGATATTTTGGCTCCTTAAATAGATTCAAATCTTAACATATTTAACAAGCCTGGTAATGAAGATAAGAAGACCAAACTCTCTTGGTATATATTATTTTTGAAGACATAATCCACCCAGAGAATTTTTAAGCAAGTGGTTTTTTAGCACACTCGGTTTATTTAAGAACATGCTAATTTTATAAATCATGTATAATTTAGCTTCCTAGTTAAAACAACTAGCAATACAAGCCTGAGAATTTTTGACAATGTACCATAGAAGAAGCCTCAAGGTATGGTAAAAATTTCAAAATGCTACAAGTCCAGTCCAGTTATTCGAAAATAATGAGTAAAAATTTTTAAATCGTTTATTTAAAGACTTGCACTATACCGAGAAGTTAGTACCAAGTGATCAAGTTGTAAAAGAAGTCCAGAAGTAGTAAGAGGAAGTAATTAGTGCCTGGAAGGAATAAGCCGTTGGGATTAATGATTGGCAAGCAATCGAATCAATAAACAAGAAGTACAGAAAGCATCCTGATGTTTATTTTCATTACAACGTATTGTCTCTTAGAGTTTTCATTTCAACATATGGATTTGCATTCATCACATGAAATTGGGGTCAAAATGTATTACCTAGTAATAAAACTCAGTATCTGCATAATACCAGTTCCTGCAAAAATATTTGCTCAGTAAAACCAAGTGAGCAGACAACTTGGGCCCACTCGGCCGAGCAATTGATGTAACCAGTATAACTTGGCCCTCAAAGCTCTGATGTAGGGCGGCCATGGCCTCAACACGTTGCAGCGTCTGGTCACGGGCCGCCTCGTAGCTGCTGCTAAGCCGTAGATTATTTTCTGCCCAAATGAATGCCTTAAGCAGGTAGTGTCAAACTTGAATAATTAGTCATTAATGAAAATTGTGAACATGCAATTAGATAGAAAATGATAGGACTGTGTGTGTCTAGCTAGATCACATTTTTGATCAAGAGATGTGCAACAGTTCATAAATTATACACATCGCAAATTATACCCAACTCGTGGCTCTTACATTGTTGTAACTGTCAATCAAATAAATAACACATTTCTACACTCGATATTGAAAACCATACATCAAACTATGACTTTTTTAGATCTACCAATAATGTAATTGGACTGAACAAAATTAAATATTTTAAGCATTGTTAGAATTCATGCAGACATATTATCATGAATAAATTCTAAAGAAGTTAATAAGTTTCCATGGAGAAGTCTCCTCTACAATTAACATTCTCCAGTTACAAGACCTCACTCACCTGCTAATTCTTTGTTCTCAAGAGCAAGCTTGTCACACACATCAGTGAGGGCAGCAAGCTGGGGAAGGCCCACAACAAACTCCTCCAGGACGTCCTCACATTCCACCAGCTCCTCAAGCTCTTCCAGCTTCAGCTGTGCCACCTCAAGTGGTATAGGAGCTGTAACAAGAACAAATTTTTAGATGTCACAACAAAATACACTAAAAGCAATGCTTTCTATATTTATTGGGTAAGAACATTATTTTAGATAAAGTACCTATGTCAAGTTTATGTCAATCTTAAAATGAGTTTAATTGCCATCAATGTATTAACCTCAAGATACATACCATGCCATTTAAAACATCTTTCAACTTAAAAATTTAAAAATACTTAGAATATAAAATCAATTGTAAATTGCATTTCTTACATTAATGCATGCTAAAAATAGGCATTTCTGAGTCCAAGACTCACCTGATATATATGAAATATTTGCTGATGAATTCTCCATGTTGAAGGCTCCACAGAGGTTAGAATTTGTCTCTGCTTCCAAAATTATTCTTTAGAGACAAAAGAGCCCAACAATGGATGGGAGTTTTTTGACTTGCTTACAGCTTTCCAGTACATTTGTCCATAAACAGCATCAATATTTTAAATAAATATACTCTGGCTAGCTTATGCAGCAATAAAAGCACACATTTATAGATTGATTCCTATCATGAGTGGTATTCTAACATACACAGAAGAAGGATTGACAATTAGAAATTGATCATTAGGCAAGAACTACCAGTCTTTACAATGGGCTGTTTTGTGGACATCAAATTTCAAATGTGAATTAAAATAATTGTCCAAAAAGACTGCATATAATGATTCTACACATTTTAGTTTTGCCTGCTTAGGTTTTTTGGTAGGTACTGTTGTAGACTTGTAGTTACTTCAACTCTGGATTTAAAGCCAAGATTCATGAGCAGGTCTGCAGTTCAGTTTTCAAATCACAGTCATATATGGAGGTCTCGAAAGCTCTTCGTGTGAGGATGCATACCTATAGATGGTGCTTGTTTTGTAGCATAGTGGACATTTGCTAGCTTTATTTAGCACTTTTCTAACAACTATAACTTTCTCATAATCTTCAGTACTTAACAAGTTCTATAAATGAAAAGGAGGCAATTTAGCAGATAACATTTTTTTATGAAGGAATAAGGTAGTTTTATTACAGTCTGACTCTGGCATGACTACAACAGCCTCTCATTGCTTTCAGTTTCCAGAAGCTCATTTTACATGGGACAATTTACCAAAATCCTACACCTTCCTGAGTTGCTGATTGTGGCTTCATTTTCTAGAAAGGGCTCTAATGCTATGCAAAACTGGAACATGGGGCAGAAACCACTCATTTCTAAAAAATTTCACCCATTTCTATGGCCTTTGCTTCTTTCCTTTGTTAAAAAAATAGAAAACTGACATCATTTTGCTTATGATCTTCAAACATTGCTCATAAAAAGATAGTTTTTAATGGTGATTTTTGGAAATTTCTGCCCAATATTTCTCATTAGAGACTAAGTGAAGATATGCATGCTTAGCTGAGCATTAGCTCCTGAGCTATCATAGTTTAACACATTGACTCCGATTGCTCATATGTCAAACTTCCCCAGCAGACAGTGACAGATTTCATTTCTCAAGTTAGTTTGACACTTGCCATTGCTGTGAAAGGAGGTGCGTTGCTCTATTTGCAGTAAACCGGACATGTTGGTGAGAGAAAACATGTGGGACATATGTGTACCACAACGTACTACAGCAAAAAAACCTTGTGACGAACGAAGTGGGACACTATTGTAACATGGCTCAGTGTTATAGTCATGGCACAAAAAAAATGTGGAAAACATGAAAATGTTTAGAAGTTGGTACAAATCATCAAATGATAAAGGAAATATGACTGAAATTCCATATTTTTATTAATTCTAATCATTTTCACTCACTTTATAGTCAGATGGGGTAAGACAGGACCGAAATCTCTAACAAGCATGTAGCATCTATACCATGAATAAATAAAAAACCCTAAACCTATCACAAGTTTTGCATGTTTCAATTCAAGTTTAATTTAGCTAGTAAAAAAATGGCATCATTTATAAAGAAAAAAGTGGTCTAAGTTACCCCATTTTACAGTACATCTTCCTGACTCCTGAGTGAGGCTTCATTTTTTAGGAAAGGCTCCAAGGCTAAGCAAAATGAAACTTCGGGCACAGGCCACTTATTAATGAGACAAATAACTGAAATGAGGCCAGTGCTTACAAAAAATTTCACCCACTTCTACAGCCATTGTTTAATTTCTTAGTTTAAAAAATAGGAAACTGGCATATTTTTGCTTGCTTATGGTCATCAAACATTGCTTATCAAATGATAGTTTTTAATTGTGATTTTTTGGAAAATTCTGCCCAATTTTCCTCATTAGAGAATAAGTGAAGATGTGCATGTTTAAGCCAAGCCAAGGCTGCTGACTGCTGAGCTGCCATGGTCAGGAAGATGTGCCAGGTGCGCGGGAATTTATTTTGTCATTTTAACAACCTGCGCAGTGCGCCGTACTACGTTGGTAAAAAAATGCGCCGTGTGNTTATATATTATAATTATATTGAATCTGTCTCTTATACACATCTAGATGTGTATAAGAGACAGGTGTTCAGTGTTGCCATATGACTTTGGAGAAAATTTCTTCTAAAATAAAGATGGCCGGGATTGCGCGAACACGTGCGCAAAGATAATCAATTTTCATTACATTGCGCCAACTGTGCACAGCAATAGCTTAAAAATAGTTAAAATGCGCGGGAAAATTTACCGAAAACATACATCATCCTGAGTGTGGCTGAGCTGCCCCTGAGCATTGGCTCCCTCATTGACATTGAGGACTGAGGAGCCTCAGAGGAGGCAGCCTGCTCTGGAGCAGGGAGCCTCCCTGCTCCAGAGCTACTGGTAGTTAAAAGTTATATTTGAGGGCCATTGAGGCAATGGCTAACATATGCTCTAAGCCCTAAGGCAAGCTGGGGGATTTGCACCAAGACTGACCAAGACATGCATCATGCATGGAAATGGAATGCATCTGCTTTTTGATTGGCAACTATAGAGGCTAATAGAGCTTTCATGAATTTTCTGAAGCTAAAAGTTTACTAATAGATCAATTAGGCCTATAAAACTGTTAACAAAAGTACATAACTCACTGCTCACTGGGTGTCTGGGTTGTGGACAGTGTGGTCAGTGGTCACTGTGGTGAGACCCCAAATTTATTAAGATGTCCCGAATTTTGTTGCAATGAGATTTGATTAGCTACCAAGTATGTAAATTTCAATCTTGTATCAGAATGATAAGTACCAGAATTTTGTATGTCCTGAGTCCTGACTCCTGATAGCATAGTGGCAAACAAGAGCTTTTTTAGAATCAGTTCATTTTTAATTTCCTCATTTACTCAAGATTTGAACCAATTTCTTAAGTATGATAATGCTGGTATCCAGGATACTTTACTGGTCTACTTATAGGACTCAAAAATGAACTTGAGGGAGAGTCTAAAAAACTCTCTGCTTTGCCACTATGCATGATACTTTACTGGTCTACTTATAGGACTCAAAAATGAACTTGAGGGAGAGTCTAAAAAACTCTCTGCTTTGCCACTATGCCTGATAGACTAGCCTAAGTGATGTGATAACATCAGTACATCACCATATTCATTTAATAATAAAGTCTTGGTCAAGAAAAGTGTTTTATTGAGTTAATTTAAAATTGAAATGTAATAGTCTTGTTACTCTAGTAGCATTGCATTATGTTAAATAATATAATATACCTAGCAGTTTCAGCATTTATTAGGCAGGAGGCCTGTCGCCAATTCTTAACATTGCAGAACATCCACTAAGATGCACTATCCATAACTTGTTGCGGACTTGCGGGCTTGAACTCGCAACTCACTGCTTCAATTTTGCTTTTTATCCGCCCGGCCTCCTTCAGCCAGACCAGAAATTGACGCCCAGAGCCGAGATCGAACCCGGAACCCGCACCTCTCTTGGAATTCTGAACTTTAACCACTGGGGCTACCCTGTCTGGGCCTGTCAGTGTCACACTGTCACTCATTTTGAAAGTTCTTCCTTTTACGAGTGACGTCCACAGCTTTGTTAAATTACGTAACTTTGAGCTCACGGCATCTGGGGTTAAGTTTCAGATACCATTGTTCTGTTCCAAAATTTATCGTTCTACGACGATTGGTCTTTCGACCGAAGGCTGATTCGACACACGGCACAGATACGGACGGGTCGGTGGCTTACTCCATATTCACTGCAAGGCTCCGGCGCGCTCCGTCCGGGTGGTGTAAAATTTTTCCGCGTATTGGCAGACGATGCTGGGCCATATCATACTACGTCAGGCTACTTTTCTGTGGGCCGATTGATCTAATTCAATCACTGGGATACCTGCCGCTGCCGGAGACCACCATGCACTGCCGTGCTTCGAATGGACTTTCATGATACCTTCCCTCAAGAACGTAGCTTATAACACTTCTTAGAATAGAATAGAATAGAAGTGTCGGCGCTGAAGAAATAGGCCCATGGCCTGTTGCCGATTCTTGAACCTTTCGTGACTTGATTCACAAGGGATCCGGCCTTTGGAACCCGATCTTTCCATAGCTGACGATTGATCGAGATAGCTGCTGGACTTATTGCTGGTTATTCTTGACAGTAACATTATCAACCGCAAGCCCTCAAACAGATTACATCTATTGAATTAAATCAATCAGCCCACAGGAAAGTGGCCTGACGTAGTATGGCCCAACATCGTCTGACAATCCGTGAAAAAAATTTTACACCACCCAGACGGAGCGCGCCGGTGCCTTCACTGCCTTGCAGTGATTTAGATGCCCACCGCCGACCCGTCCGTAACTGTCCCGTGTGTCGAACGGCCACTAAAGATAATAACGGACGATAAATTTTGGAAGAGAACTATGCTATCTGAAACCTCAACCCCAGATGCTGTGAGCTATAAGTGACTGTCTGGTCTCTGGTGGTGCACGGCAGGCTTCACGCAGTTCCAATAGCAAGCTGGGCTGGTTGGTCGCAGTCCGTTGTCCGCTAGTTACAGTTCGAGCTAAAGTCAAGGTATGAAGTGATGATTTGATGCAACGTTCAGTGATAGACGATTTTCCCACTCAGGGCTATTTGCTTCAGAATATGTTGGCGTAAAGCTCCTAATATTCAAAGCAAGGTGACGTCATGGGCTTGTTACCGACGGATGGTTTAATTAGCGGCTGATTGGTGGTCATCTCGTAATATGCTAGGCGTTCCTTTCAGGGCACAAATTGGTGGTGCCCTGAAATGATTGGAAAATTTGGTGCCCTGAAACGTTCCTGGTGCACAAATTTGGTGGTGCACGGCTGCGCTCCCAAAGTCGGCTATTTCGCTGGCTGCAAACCATGGTTGAACTATATCATGGTTGAACTATATAAATCTACTAGTTCAACCATGGAACTATATAAAGTTGACCCACGGGGATTTCCGCCTTTCAGTTCAGCTTTCTTGTTACGTCACTGAGATCGAGAAACGCAAACAATCCCGTCATTCCCATGACGGATTGGTTGAATAGTTTGATCGCATTTCAGTGAATGATTAATGCCAGTCACAGGAGAACAAAAAAACTACATCCGCAAAAATGAGCTTCTCATAGGTCAACCTTATACTATTTCATCCATGGCTGTAAACATCAGGGATCGCAAGGCAATGCAAAGTTAGAAAACATCTGTTAATTTATGATCATTAGTATATCGCATACTTGATGCCTGCTCTCATATATATCGGCATTTAAACACAGTTTCCATTGTTTTAATAGCCAATTTT